TCATGTGTTTGTTCATTCACGTGTTTGTTTATTCATTCATTTGTTTGTTCATTCATGTGTTTGTTTATTCATTCATTTGTTCGTTCATTCATGTGTTAGTTTATTCATTCATTCATGTGTTTATTCATTCATTCATTCATTCATTCATGTGTTTGTTTATTCATTTATTCATGTGTTTGTTTATTCATTCTTTCATGTGTTTGTTTATTCATTTATTTGTTCATTCATTCATGTTTGTTCATTAATTCGTTTGTTTATTCATTTGTTTATGCGTTTGTTTGTTTGTTTGTTTGTTCGTTCATTCATTCATTCATTCATTTGTTCTTTATTTTATATTTGTTCATTCGTTCGTTCATTTGTTTTTCTTTGTGCATTCATTCATTCATGTGTTTGTTCCTTCATTTATTGTCTTCATTTGCTCATTGTTTTAAATTATGTTGTTCATTTGTTCGTTAGTTCCTTTATTTATTTGTACATGCATTGGCTTGGTAATTTGTACATTAATTATAATCATTATTTTATTAATCCATGTATGCATTTGTTGATTGATTTATTCATTCATTTGTTAGTTATATTGTTTGATCATTTGTTTGTTGTTCATGTATTTGTTCATTAGTTCATTTTTTTCCCAATTGTGCATTCATTTGTTTATTTGATGGTTCTTTCATTAGTTTGTTTGCTCATTCATTTGTACACTCATTAATTTAATTTGTACATTAGAATTATTTTTAAATAATTCATTAATTTATTTCTTCATTAGTTCATTCAACATCAGTATAGATGCTCTCGGGTGATCAGACCGCAGGCTATTAAATTCACTGTGTCAGCACATCTCTCTCTCTCTCTCTCTCACTCTCTCACTTTATGGTTTGTTCTATCTTTAGCTCTCTGTGTGATTGAAATAGCTTCTCTCCGGAGGCCAGCAGCTCTCAGTGAACACACACACACACACACACACTCAGTAGAGCGTAGCGATTGAACGGGGTGAGGTTTCACACAACAGGAGGGTGATTGTGGATCACTCCAATAGGCCCTGCAGGAAAACCATACAAACCCAATACACACACACACTCTTGTTTGTCGTCTTCTCTTTCTAGAAAGCATCACACACACTCTTTTTCTGTTCTCTCAGAGCCAGAGGTATGCGCAGGGCGCGGGAGGCCGTCAGAATAATGAGACCAATGAGATCTGTTTTCCCTTTAGATGTCTTTCTTTCTATCTTTGTCTTCTGTTCTTCCTTGTTCTGTACTTTTATTGCCTCCTCATCCTCTCAAACTCAGAAGTGATGCTGTCGGCCCCTCATTTAAGAAAATCTCTTAAGATCAAGCCCTGCTGGAAAACATCTGCCGCTCGGATCTTTCTCGCCCTGAGATTGTGATGCTCCTGTTTCACATTTCATATGTATGGACATGAATCTGTGAAAATAACCCCTATAAATGGCTATTTTTACAGAAAAATGACGAGATTCCTAAAAATAGCACACTCCATTTCTTGGAGTCTGTGCACAGGATTTCATCAGTCTGCTGGGAAACGAGTCTTTTTGTTTTGAGTGGTAGATAAAATAGATATATCAGTATGCTGTGAATATGAATGTATCTTTATATTCTGCTTTTATTTTGTTATTTTTCTTTTATTTTTGTCTACACTGTGCATAAAGTGCAACATTTACTTGCCTATTTTTTAATATGTTTGTCCAGTACTTTTTGTTCTATATTGTTTTGTTAGTATGTTTGTTTGTTCATCAGTTTTCATTAGCTAATTTGTTAATTTATTAATATTCTCATTTTTTATATATCAAATATATCATTATTTGTTATCATTTGTTATTTATATTTTATAATTTATCATCTTAATTATGCTCTATACACTACCATTAAAAAGTTTAGGTTTTCTTGTTCTTTTTTTTCCTTTTCTTTTTTGAAAAAAATGCTCAATGTAGCTGAATTAATTTGATAAAATATACATCAAAAACAGAAATATTCTGAAATATTATTACAATTTAAAATAGCTGTTTTCTATTTTAATATATTAAAGCATTTGATGCTCAATAAATCATTCTTCTTATTATCAATGTTAAATTGTGCTGCTTAATATTTTTGTGGAAACTTTTTTTCCAGAATTCGTTGAATAAAGTTTTTAAATATAAATATAAAAAAGATTTCAAATATAAATCTTTTATAACATTTATAATGTCTTTACTGTCACTTTTGATCAATTTAATGTATCTATATACAGAATAAAAGTATTAATTTCTTTAAAAAGATTAATTCGATTAAATCATTTGTTTATTCATTATTCTCCATACAATAACCTATTGTTTTGTTGGTTTGTTTGTTTTGTTCAGTAGATGTTTGTTCATTTTATTAATATGATCATTAATTTGTTACCTGCATAGTTCTGCTTGTCTTTAATTTTGTGCGTTTGCTTATTTGTTCATCTCTTAATTGATTTACTCATTCATTTCTTTCTTTATATCTTCATTCATCTTTATATTCATACATGCATTCCTTCATAGCTCTTGGATTTTTGTGAGATGCTGTAGTTTATGAGGTTCAAATGTTTTGTTTGAGACACGCATTGCGTGTTGTATACTGTATGCATGTTCTGTTTTGCCCCTTCAGCCAGTGTGATTTTGATTTACCCAGGCCTAAACTTCACGTAAAACAGCCATGTTTACATCAGATGTTTACATCACCTGTTTTAGTGGGATGTTCTTGGTCAGCATATGTTATAAAGTGGACCAGAATCCAATCCTTGAGCAGTCTGACGGTGCATCTTCATGAAAGCAGTTTTCTGTTTTGATGGTTTTTTGCACACTGATTGCACTTCTGAGCTCCATTTGTGTAATGAGGTGACACTCTATTTTAAACCGTTTGCTCTGGTGAGGTCTGGTAAGACGAAGCAAGATGAGTGACAGCGATGATGGAATTTTAAAAGGTTTCACTGTTGCTTTTTAAGCAGGAAATGCACTTTAACCATTTAAATAATGTTTACACGATGCTCCCCCTTTTAAGTAGATTACAGAGACATGGGGAAAATGGGAACGTTTGTTCTGGAAGAATCCGCAGTTCTGGCAATATGCAGAGATGCAGGGAAGTCCAAGATGAGACACACACACACACACTTTCTCTCAGCCCCCGGACTGACTCAGCTTGTCCTCTTTCTGCATTCACTCCATTCACTCTTTCATTACTCTTTCATATTTCATTACATTATATTAGTTTTTTCATTCTATTTGTTATTCTTTTGTACTTTCTTTTCTGCTGATATTTATCTTCTGTGTAGTCATCACCATGGGATAAAAAATAGTTTTTTTCTTGCAATTCTAAGTTTATATCTCACACTTCTGACTTTTTTTGCAAGATAAAACTCTGGAATTGTGAGATATGAAAAAAATAAATTGCAATTACCTTTTTATTTTTTGTTCCATGGCGAAAAAAACAAACAGAATAGTGAGATATAAACTCAGAATTGCAAGAAAAACATCAGAAATGTGGGGTAAAAGATCACAATTAGATTTTTCCTGATTTATTATTATTATTATTCATTATTATGAACTCGCAATTGTGAGAAAAAGGCAGAATTTTATATCTCACAATTCTGACTTTTTTGTGTGATAAAATAATTGCATATTTGATATAAACTAAGAATTGTAAGATATATATATATATATACTCAGAATAGCAAGAAAAAAAGTCAGAAATGTGAGAAATCTCAATTACATATAATACTTTTTATTCCAAGGCAGAAAAAAAAAAACATAATTGCAAGATGTAAACTCAGAATTGAGATATAAAGTCAGATTTGCAATATAATTTTTTTTTTCAAAACTGTAAGATGAGAGTTTATGTCTTGCAATTTTTATATTGTTTCTCAGAATTCTTCAGAATTCTGTCCTTTGTACCGGCAATGAAAATAAACATTTTTTTTTCCACTATTTATTTACCATTCAAACTGGACTTTCTTTCATTTGTAGAACATAAAGTAAGAATTTCAGAGCTGCTTTTTTTCATACAACTAAAGCAGAGAGTGACCAGTGGCTTTTAAGCTCCAAAAAGGACAAAAAAGTACCATAAAAGTACCAAACAGTAAATATGATTTCTGCACTATACTTCAAGTCTTTTGAAGTCATAACATCTTATTTGGGTCTCTCATTCAAAGCTATGAAATGACTGGGGGCAGGATACAAGATACATGGACTACTTATACTGTGCTTTTATGGCGCTTTCATGTTATTCTTGGAGATTGACAGCCCCTACGTGCTTTCATGGTATGAAAAAGACCAGCGTCAAGAGTGTGAAATGACGTGGGATATGAGTAAACGTCAACAGTTTTCTATTTTGGGTGAGCTGTTCCTTTAATATTCCTGTTAAAGGTCATGTGATCATAATAAGCCATTCAGGATTTATGATTTTGTGTCACTGATTTGCTTTCTTCAATTGTAAATGAATTGGTCTGTGCTTCCATGATTCTGGTCTGTTTCAGTTTCAGTGATGTGTGTGTCTCTCTCTCTCTCTGTCTGCTTTCTGTAGATGCTGGAGGCTGTGTTGACCTTTAAATACAGCGGAGGAGCCGGTCAGGTGGAGGGCTACTCCCGCGAGCTCAGTCTGGGGGTCAGAGTGGATGTTGAACCTTCTGTTTTCTTCACACGAGTCAGCACTTTACCTGCCACCAGGTATTCTCTCTCTCTCTCTCTCTCACTCTCTCACTTTATGGTTTGTTCTATCTTTAGCTCTCTGTGTGATTGAAATAGCTTCTCTCCGGAGGCCAGCAGCTCTCAGTGAACACACACACACACACACACACTCAGTAGAGCGTAGCGATTGAACGGGGTGAGGTTTCACACAACAGGAGGGTGATTGTGGATCACTCCAATAGGCCCTGCAGGAAAACCATACAAACCCAATACACACACACACTCTTGTTTGTCGTCTTCTCTTTCTAGAAAGCATCACACACACTCTTTTTCTGTTCTCTCAGAGCCAGAGGTATGCGCAGGGCGCGGGAGGCCGTCAGAATAATGAGACCAATGAGATCTGTTTTCCCTTTAGATGTCTTTCTTTCTATCTTTGTCTTCTGTTCTTCCTTGTTCTGTACTTTTATTGCCTCCTCATCCTCTCAAACTCAGAAGTGATGCTGTCGGCCCCTCATTTAAGAAAATCTCTTAAGATCAAGCCCTGCTGGAAAACATCTGCCGCTCGGATCTTTCTCGCCCTGAGATTGTGATGCTCCTGTTTCACATTTCATATGTATGGACATGAATCTGTGAAAATAACCCCTATAAATGGCTATTTTTACAGAAAAATGACGAGATTCCTAAAAATAGCACACTCCATTTCTTGGAGTCTGTGCACAGGATTTCATCAGTCTGCTGGGAAACGAGTCTTTTTGGTTTGAGTGGTAGATAAAATAGATATATCAGTATGCTGTGAATATGAATGTATCTTTATATTCTGCTTTTATTTTGTTATTTTTCTTTTATTTTTGTCTACACTGTGCATAAAGTGCAACATTTTCTTGCCTATTTTTTTATATGTTTGTCCAGTACTTTTTGTTCTATATTGTTTTGTTAGTATGTTTGTTTGTTCATCAGTTTTCATTAGCTAATTTGTTAATTTATTAATATTCTCATTTGTTCTCTTTTTATCTGTTATTTTGTTATTTGTTATCATTTGTTATTTATATTTTATAATTTATCATCTTAATTATTCTCTATACACTACCATTAAAAAGTTTAGGTTTTTCTTTTTTTTCCTTTTCTTTTTTGAAAAAAATGCTCAATGTAGCTGAATTAATTTGATCAAATATACATCAAAAACAGAAATATTCTGAAATATTATTACAATTTAAAATAGCTGTTTTCTATTTTAATATATTAAAGCATTTGATGCTCAATAAATCATTCTTCTTATTATCAATGTTAAATTGTGCTGCTTAATATTTTTGTGGAAACTTTTTTTCCAGAATTCGTTGAATAAAGTTTTTAAATATAAATATAAAAAAGATTTCAAATATAAATCTTTTATAACATTTATAATGTCTTTACTGTCACTTTTGATCAATTTAATGTATCTATATACAGAATAAAAGTATTAATTTCTTTAAAAAGATTAATTCGATTAAATCATTTGTTTATTCATTATTCTCCATACAATAACCTATTGTTTTGTTGGTTTGTTTGTTTTGTTCAGTAGATGTTTGTTCATTTTATTAATATGATCATTAATTTGTTACCTGCATAGTTCTGCTTGTCTTTAATTTTGTGCGTTTGCTTATTTGTTCATCTCTTAATTGATTTACTCATTCATTTCTTTCTTTATATCTTCATTCATCTTTATATTCATACATGCATTCCTTCATAGCTCTTGGATTTTTGTGAGATGCTGTAGTTTATGAGGTTCAAATGTTTTGTTTGAGACACGCATTGCGTGTTGTATACTGTATGCATGTTCTGTTTTGCCCCTTCAGCCAGTGTGATTTTGATTTACCCAGGCCTAAACTTCACGTAAAACAGCCATGTTTACATCAGATGTTTACATCACCTGTTTTAGTGGGATGTTCTTGGTCAGCATATGTTATAAAGTGGACCAGAATCCAATCCTTGAGCAGTCTGACGGTGCATCTTCATGAAAGCAGTTTTCTGTTTTGATGGTTTTTTGCACACTGATTGCACTTCTGAGCTCCATTTGTGTAATGAGGTGACACTCTATTTTAAACCGTTTGCTCTGGTGAGGTCTGGTAAGACGAAGCAAGATGAGTGACAGCGATGATGGAATTTTAAAAGGTTTCACTGTTGCTTTTTAAGCAGGAAATGCACTTTAACCATTTAAATAATGTTTACACGATGCTCCCCCTTTTAAGTAGATTACAGAGACATGGGGAAAATGGGAACGTTTGTTCTGGAAGAATCCGCAGTTCTGGCAATATGCAGAGATGCAGGGAAGTCCAAGATGAGACACACACACACACACTTTCTCTCAGCCCCCGGACTGACTCAGCTTGTCCTCTTTCTGCATTCACTCCATTCACTCTTTCATTACTCTTTCATATTTCATTACATTATATTAGTTTTTTCATTCTATTTGTTATTCTTTTGTACTTTCTTTTCTGCTGATATTTATCTTCTGTGTAGTCATCACCATGGGATAAAAAATAGTTTTTTTCTTGCAATTCTAAGTTTATATCTCACACTTCTGACTTTTTTTGCAAGATAAAACTCTGGAATTGTGAGATATGAAAAAAATAAATTGCAATTACCTTTTTATTTTTTGTTCCATGGCGAAAAAAACAAACAGAATAGTGAGATATAAACTCAGAATTGCAAGAAAAACATCAGAAATGTGGGGTAAAAGATCACAATTAGATTTTTCCTGATTTATTATTATTATTATTCATTATTATGAACTCGCAATTGTGAGAAAAAGGCAGAATTTTATATCTCACAATTCTGACTTTTTTGTGTGATAAAATAATTGCATATTTGATATAAACTAAGAATTGTAAGATATATATATATATATACTCAGAATAGCAAGAAAAAAAGTCAGAAATGTGAGAAATCTCAATTACATATAATACTTTTTATTCCAAGGCAGAAAAAAAAAACCATAATTGCAAGATGTAAACTCAGAATTGAGATATAAAGTCAGATTTGCAATATAATTTTTTTTTTCAAAACTGTAAGATGAGAGTTTATGTCTTGCAATTTTTATATTGTTTCTCAGAATTCTTCAGAATTCTGTCCTTTGTACCGGCAATGAAAATAAACATTTTTTTTTTCACTATTTATTTACCATTCAAACTGGACTTTCTTTCATTTGTAGAACATAAAGTAAGAATTTCAGAGCTGCTTTTTTTCATACAACTAAAGCAGAGAGTGACCAGTGGCTTTTAAGCTCCAAAAAGGACAAAAAAGTACCATAAAAGTACCAAACAGTAAATATGATTTCTGCACTATACTTCAAGTCTTTTGAAGTCATAACATCTTATTTGGGTCTCTCATTCAAAGCTATGAAATGACTGGGGGCAGGATACAAGATACATGGACTACTTATACTGTGCTTTTATGGCGCTTTCATGTTATTCTTGGAGATTGACAGCCCCTACGTGCTTTCATGGTATGAAAAAGACCAGCGTCAAGAGTGTGAAATGACGTGGGATATGAGTAAACGTCAACAGTTTTCTATTTTGGGTGAGCTGTTCCTTTAATATTCCTGTTAAAGGTCATGTGATCATAATAAGCCATTCAGGATTTATGATTTTGTGTCACTGATTTGCTTTCTTCAATTGTAAATGAATTGGTCTGTGCTTCCATGATTCTGGTCTGTTTCAGTTTCAGTGATGTGTGTGTCTCTCTCTCTCTCTGTCTGCTTTCTGTAGATGCTGGAGGCTGTGTTGACCTTTAAATACAGCGGAGGAGCCGGTCAGGTGGAGGGCTACTCCCGCGAGCTCAGTCTGGGGGTCAGAGTGGATGTTGAACCTTCTGTTTTCTTCACACGAGTCAGCACTTTACCTGCCACCAGGTATCAAACAATACATTTACTCCATACTCAAGAGGCAAGTCTCTGTCTGCAACATGTCTTAAACACACCATATTTAGCTCTTTTTCAGGACGGTTATATTGTTACCCAGGGTTTCTTGTGATTTAGATTTTTTTTTTAATCTGACACCTACAATTAAAGGAATAGTTCACCCAAAAATGGAAATTCTGTCATTAATTACTCACCCTCATGTCATTCCAAACCCGCAAGACCTTCGTTCATCTTCGGAACACAAATTAAGATATTTTTGATGAAAGCCGAGAGCTTCCTGACCCTGTATAGACCGCAGCACAACTACCAAGTTCAAGGCCCAGAAAGGTAGTAAGGACATCATTAAAATAGTCCATGACATCAGTGGTTCAACCGTAATTTTATGAAACTAAAAATAAAGACTTTATTCAACAATTTCTTCTCTCCCGTCTCAGTCTCTGCCCCTCATTCACGAGAGTACCACGATGCATGAGTTCTGATGTAGAACCTGGATGTGCTGCGTCTGGTTTACAAGCAGAGGAAGATGAACGCTGTACAGAAAACAGTCTTCGTAAACATTACGACAGAGAGGATGACTTGCAATTTTTTGCTCAGCCTTACTTATTTGAACTAGAATATGATCAGATTAGTTCAGATGATGAACTAAGAGAGATGGACGTTCTACGTTACAACGCAGCACCACACCAGTGTTAATTCTGACAGGCATTTTTGATTTAGTCTTGGTCTTTATCTTGAGATGAAAATGCTTAATAGTTTTAGTCACATTTTTGTCATTTGAGTCTTTCATAGTTTTAGTCTAGTTTTAGTTGCAGTTACCAACATTTATTTTGGAAGCTATTTTATATGTAGTCTTCAAACAAAAATAGTCATTCTTCTCTCTTTAGACCAAATCAATTAAGCTTATGAGAAATTTGAATCAAGGATTGAATTTGGAAAAACTTGAATAAATTATGACAATTTTCATTTTTGGGTGAACTATCCCTTTAACAGAAGTGAAAAGGGAGCAACTTATAAAAATTATAGTTGTTCATATATAATATATATAATTGATAATTTTTGAAAAAGAAGCAGCATAAGACAATAAGACAAATACGAAAGAGATACAAATTAAACTCATTTTTCAGATACAGTAGGTTTACATATA